TATATATATATATATATATATATATATATATATATATATATAAGCACCTCAGTGTGACAGTCATAATAGAAGAAACTTAAAAGGGGCCAACTTTTTTATTTTAACCCGTATCTAACATGTGAAATGTTGCCATTAATGCACTTATATACCAGCCAGATGTGATATAAAAGGTTACTTATACTAATAAAATAATTTTTTGTTTAACTTTTCACAGGCTTTAAATACAAGTTTGTGTTTTCATTTGGTTTCTTTTTATTCCAAACCAGATTATTAAGTTTATATATTGTCTTTGCAGTACCTTCACAATGAGAAGAAGCTTCTGCATGGGGACATGAAGTCGTGTAACGTGGTTATCAAAGGTGATTTTGAGACTGTCAAGATCTGTGACGTTGGTGTCTCTCTGCATCTCGACGAGAACATGAAAGGTATAACTTATCTTCAATTATAAAGGGTTCTCAGTCTTTTGGGACGTCCTTTAGGAAATTGATCAGTTGTTACTAGAGGGGATAGTTTATATCAGCCCAGAAGTAAAATATATGTATATATTCCATGTCCTCTCAATCTACTGGTCTATCAGAACCCAGAGGGAGAGTGTGGCGTTTAACCTTGTGGTTGTTAGTCTAGCGCCCCTAGTGGCTCAGTTGTGGCTTTAAGTGCATGATATTAGCCAGCGTAAATGATTGGGAGGGGTGGATATTTAGAGGTAAACTTGCCTTTGTTTAGCTTAAAAGACAGAAAATGAAGAAGGTAAACTAGATATGTATTGTAGCTCCTATGTGTAAATGTTGTAGAGATGCCCATCAAAGAGTTAGATAACAATAACCCCACTTGTTCTCAGTGTCTGACCCTAAGGCAGAGTATATCGGCACAGAGCCGTGGAAGCCAAAAGAAGCTCTGGAGGAGGGAGGAGAAATCACCGATAAGGCAGACATCTTCGCCTTCGGTCTGACCCTGTGGGAGATGATGACTCTGGACATGCCTCACCTGCAGATGCTGGACGGTGATGAAGACGATAACGGGGGTAAGATGGCTTGACAATTGTGGGCTTATGGATACATAAGCCCACAATATGACAGCGTTCATAAGATGTAGGCAAATCACTGTCCCCCAGACATCCACGGTTATATTTTTTATATTTATATTTTTTTTTAAACAAAGCGGAGTGTGTATGATGTCATCCGCGCGCTATAAAGAAAAGGCTACTAATAAAGAAAAATCATGGTTGTAGTCTTAAACTTGTCAGCATTTTATAGTGTTATTTTAATCTGTCTTAGTATACTCTAGATTCCTTATTGCCTTTTAGGAACATTTTATCTGATTTGTTGTGTAATAAATGAAAATAGTTAAACGAATATGTTATTGTGGTTAAGACTTAGGAAATAGTTATGGTAGCAAACTTAACATTAGTTGGTTTTTACCAGTGAATCCTAACAACTACCTTTATTTGTACTTCTGAAAGGAAAATAAAATCTAACTCAGATGGATTTATGGTATTAAAACAAACCATCTTGCATCACAAGATTCACTGATTTAAATATTGTGTACATTCTAGACGATTCAATGGAGGAGAGCTTTGATGAGGATGCCTATTATGAGCGTTTGGGGACGAGGCCTCCGCTGGACGCTGCGTCTCTGGGCACCTCGTACAGGAGGATGGTGGAGCTCTTCTGTCTTTGCACTGAGGAAGACCCTAAGAAGAGACCATCAGCTGCACAGATTGTCCAGGCCTTAGAGGACAACACTGTGTTGGACAGAGCACCATGTGAGGTGATCGTTATTGATTAACATCTTCATTTATTGCTCTGAACTCTTGTAAATGTTAACCATTTGTCTGGAACAGTTAAAACACTGTTTTATAATTGTCATTTCTATGTTTTGTCATCTTTTACTGTATCCTTTACTTCATGAACTTTTTCACAGTAAACCATAAAATGCTCTTACTATTGTCTGTTTGTAAATAAGTGTAAAAGGTAAAAGTGGGTGGGGGAAAAAAAGGAATATCCTTAAAATAATTTTTGTTAAATGTACGAAGCAGGAACATCCCTCAAAGGGGAAAGAGTCGTTCAACCAAACTAGCTTAATTCACCAGATCGTATCTTACTTTTAAATACTTATATTACAAATGAGAAAAATATAAACGTAAAAGAAAAAAAAAAAGCTTTGTTTTATAATTTGATAAGTACATCGCCATGTTGCAGTACCTCGCACGGTGATGTCCAGGGATAGATTAATGCTAGCTCTAGCAGTTGTATAGATTGGAAGCACTGATAGATCACAACCATAAAACCCTTTCAGCTTTATCTTGCATCAAACCAAATGTTCTATGGTTGATCTGTCGCCAGTATATCCAATTGCTAGAACTAGCGTCAATCAACCCCCTGCGGTCACCATTCGAGGTACTGCAACATGGTGGCACCCTTACCAAAGAATTATAAAACAAAAGGTTTTTAATTTGACTCTTTACGTTTGTAATTTAATTATCGATAACAGTAAGACACAATCCCATGAACTAAGTTAGTTTGATCGTTTCATTTCCCCTTTAACAGTGATGGAATTCGTGTTTCAGAAATATTTCGCCTTCAAAGTGCAGAATACTTCCAACGGGTACATGGAAAATGAATCCTATCATGTTGAACATGTCTCACAAATTGAGATTGTCAGTTAAAACTGAACTCACAATAAAAATGCTTAAAAGCCACATCAAATTGTACGAACTTTTATTTTCCCACTGCAGCAGGGGAAGGGATATTAAAACATTCAGGGAAAAGGGCTGCATTATAAATACAGAATACTAAACCTTACCCAATAGAAACAACTTTACACACAAAGCTTTAACAAAAAACAGCTTTGCATATAATTAACATTCAGCAAAAAAACCTTTGACACGAAAAACTTCAGAACTTCACACCAATTAATGCAGCATGTTTAATGAACTGTTGCTTCCTTCTTATGCTATGAAGTTGTAAATAAGGAAGGTTGGTGTGTTGCAGTACTTGGTGGCAAACAGCTTCCCATCAGGTGTTGGATCAGAAAATGCAATTTCGTCCTTGCTCAGATAACTTCCAAACATGAAGGTGCTCCTTTAAAAAAAAAAAAGAAAAGAAGGGGGGCAGACAGGAGGTGGAACAAGAGATGATTAAATCGTTAGTCATGTGTTCAGAAAAATAATACTTTTTAATCTGACTACTTAAAGTAATCACGTCTCTAAAATATGGAACCAAGAGCCACAATGATTATGCCTGAAAAATTTACTTCAAAATAAAAACAAGAAAAGGCCAATTGCAGACGTCTCACCTCACTGTGTCCAGCATACGGGTTGCGATGCCCTGCCGCCTCGCCAGGCTGAAGACCCAGATCCGACTGATTCCACACAGAGCTTGTTCTGGGGTGGTGGAGCAGCACCAGGCTCTGTGGCGTTCCATGAAGTCATCCTTCGTCATGTCTTTCTTGTGATCTGGCTGCTCCAGAACCCTGTAGGCCTGCATGGAAAAACGGGATAACAATTTCCAAAGCTTAAGATCTGTATGAAGGCTTTTGTATAACAGGGTAGTCGCAAAACAGTTTCAAAAACTATTAGGTTTTAAAATTAGATTCTGTTTCAGAAAAATATTTTCTTTTACAATTCCGATGATTAGTCAATAAAAACAGCTTACCAGTCTGAATTGAAATTAATTGTATACACACACAAAATTAAACAGGCATTATTGGTGGCCATTAAACCAAACAAATATTTAAAGCAATGAAAACCTCATCTTTTTTTTTTTTTTTACCAGTCTTATGGGTTCGGCAATGAGACATCCTACAACCAGTCGGTCTGTGTTGATGAACAGGAAGGTTTTAGCCTGCGTTGGTCTGCTCAGAGTCACCTGCTGGAAACCCAACTCGTTATCGGCGATACGGCGGACTTCTTCAGCCTTAAAAAAAAAAAAAAAAGCATAACTTCGATTTGTGCCTGACACAAATTATTTTTGCACAACAACCCAAGAATTATCCAGAGTGTGGTCCCCTACCTTTCTGACTGCATACTTCGGATCATCGGGTAAAACCAGGATAATTTTACCGTCCCAGAACTCTGCCACTACCCGTTCCTTTTTCCAACCCTGGAAAAATAAAGAATGAAACTTCAGATCAATTAATTAGAAACCTATTCTCAACTATTTACTTCAAGTTTTTTTTCTGTTAATTTCTTATGTTTAAGATTTAAAGCAAATTAAACTTCCACTTTTCGGAAAAAATTAAGATTACGTTGAACAAAAATTGAATGTTTGACAGAAATGTGTTACATCCTTTATCCTAACACCAAACTTTCCAACACGTTTGGATACAGCCGGATTATCCGAGGTAAAACACAAAAAAGCAGTGTCAGCTGTAAAAAGGCCTTAATATAACATTTCTGTTAAAATATTGAACAATTCAGCTCTAAGACCACCACCAAAATGAAAATAAACAAAAGGCAAATTTTGTCAATGAGTTTCGCATTTTGGATCAAGTTGCTATAAGCTTGAATAAACTTTTGATTATGCTCCAATTTTAACTTTAAATACATACTTAACTAAATTATGGAGGTAATTAAAATGACTATGATCAGATATGGACATCGGCTATCCTCTGGCTTTAACGTGAGTTAAAACAAGCTTTGTTCTTTTCAAAAATCGCAAAAAAAAAAAAAGTTGCTTTCATAGATTTCCTGGTAAAGGTTTTTAAGGAAATCTTACCACGTATCTGATGGAGTCCAGAAACTGCTGGTGGAACTGGGTGTGTTGGAAATTGTCCTCGGGGTTGTCTGCACTGTAAACCATTCCACAGGAGCTGCAGGTTGTAGCACCAAACTGCTTCTGTCCAGCATCCTGGCAAATACAGTCAGGAAAACTCACGTCACTAAGTCTTCCTTCTCACAAGAAGTAAAAGACATGATGTTTAGCAATTATAATAAAAAATATTTGGTGAATGCGAAAATTTTGAGACTATCGTCCTCCTGTTTGGAACCTGGTCATTATTTTAAGGTGTTAAAAATAAAATACTTTATTTAAGAGACAATTTTAAACAGATTTCATATACAACAAAATTGTTTAACCATCCTAAAATATATAATTATGGCATGTTGTGCCATGTAGTGTACTTTTACTTTTTTTTTTGTTCCCTCTAACATTTTGTAGCATACGTAACAAACTAATATTACACTGTATTAAATACTTAAAAAAAAAAAAAAGCATTATGAATTTGATATACACAATCTATTCATGTACAAAGCATGAAGCAAAACAAAATTCAGGCACTGAAAAATAAAGGATAAAAAAGGCTCACAATGATGAGCTGGTCGTGGTCCAGCTTTTCCTTCTTCCTGCGAGTTTGTCGCTCTTTCACTGCAGATGAAGCTGGCAGGGGTGAAGCTCCTGAGGAGACAGAGGGGGTACTGCAGGATACTGGAGGACGCAGCGCTGCACTCAGTCTGAAAAAAGAAATTAAAACATTAGGTGGTGGCGACTGTTGTGTCTTTTAAATAATGCAAATTAAAAGTGTAAAGATAAGCTTCAATTTCACTGCTGTACAATCATTTCATCACTTCTTTATTTTTAAGATTGAAATATCTGGTTAATCATTTAATATCAAAGAATGTAAATACTTAAAAAAATATGTGAAAAACCCAAAAGAGGACAGCAGGAAATAAGATAAAACACAATAAAATACTCCGAGTCAGCTCATGTTGAATGCATGCACACAAATATTAAGCCAAACAACAACATCTTTAAAAATATCTCACCTTTTTGATGAGGAGCCAAATATGGGGTACACCGCTCCAGAAGCTGGAGAAGAGGAGGGGGAGTGATGTAGTATTAGGATTAGGTATTTTGTATAAACATAAATGTTCTGTCTGACTTGGAAAAAGAATCTGCCACAGATCAATTATTATAACCATTTAAGCAAGGGTTGAAGCGGATAAAATGTTGACGCACACCTTTGGAAGGAGTTGTGGAAGATTCGGTGGGGTTTATTTTACTTTGCTCAGAACCGCCATCTGTCTGCAATTCATCCTGTATAATATAAAAAGAAAAGAAAAACAAGCATTAAAGTTAAATCCTGCACAATGTCATCATATGATGCTTTTTATGAAACCTAATGCTGCTGAAGCAAACATGTCTTCACATCAATCAAGTCAATGTTTATTTGTTCAATTTCAGAGGCTGCATCCTCCAAGGACCCGGTCTACCTGGACTGGGTTCTTCGAGTTCCGTGAAAATAAAGATACTGGAAGGGCTTTGGCTATGGATTCAAACAGGTCCAGCCTTCTCAAGCTTTCCCTTCCCGTATGTTCTGTTGCCCAGCTACCATGAAAGTTGACACACAAATAGGCAAAGAATGCGTACTGAACTCGTTATGACTGTTCTGGGTGTTAATAACATTTCAGAGGAGTTTCAGCAGCAGTACCGTCGTCGCAAATATCAGATAAGTAGTCTCCACACTGCAGAAAACATTTTAATAGACCAAACATCACCCACTACATGTCTGACTCACTAATCATCAAAAAACTATTTTCGTCAATTTCAGTCAGAAGTATTCACATACTTATATAAAACCTCACAATTTTCACCAGTTTGGGTGAAAACTGTTCAAAACGGGCAAAAAGAAGGCTGCATTTGTCGGCCGCACAACAAAGAATCTTTCAATCTGAACAGGCCTCAACGTCGCGGTATGACATGATCGGCCAATGAATCTGGCCTTCGGAGGACGCAGCCAATTAATTCAAACTTAAAGGAGAAGTTCGGTTTTTTACACTTTAAGCCCATTTTCTGTAGTGTCCAGGATGAAATCGAATGATCGACACCAAAAGTTTGACA